TTGCGAACCATTTTAAATCAATATCAAGAAATTCTGAAAGGAACTCAAGAATTACTTCTAATACTCAGTTACTTGTGAAAATACATATGCAAGTACTTGGGGCGGTGCCTGATACAGGGTCAGTACTCAGTAAATATCAGCTGCAAGTAGTTGTAGTTAGTGAGTTGAAATAGTTGTAAATAGTTAAAGTTCATACATGCTGTTCCCTACATCCTTGGATTTCATGTCCACCTGGAGGTGAACTTGGGTTAGCTGGAGAGTGTTTCTTGTTGCATTTTAATGCTCATCAGTATGAAATGCAGTAGTAACTCACCATCCTAAGACTATCACAGATTACCGAAGTCACAGTTAAGAAAGTGCTTTTACAGGTTCCTTTCTCTGAAATCATATTTCTGCCAAGAGTTGCGTGTTTCCCTTAACTGTATTTTTCCAAGATAACTTTCAAATTTCACGCTAATTTTCTCTTCTTTGAGGGCCGTTTTTACTAAAGGTTTTAAAAGGTCATCGGTTCAAGGGAGAGTGTGAAAGAAAGTACCCAAGTTATTTAGAGACTCAGGAATTGGTGCTTGGCAGACTGTCAGGGAAGTGATTTGCAGGAGGCTCCTGCGCCAGATGGGCTCCACACACATTGTGTTTCCCACCATAAGCCCCCCACGGTGAGGTCCTCCTGAAGAGCTGAAGTCACAAACCTGGCTTTGGAGCAATAAAACAACCGATGCTGATCTTTAAAATGACTGATAAGTGGCTATGTCTTTTCACTACATTTTATGCGATCATATGTACATTGAAATTTGTGTTTGGTGATATAAATATCTGGCGAATTCTCAGAATAATTTTCATTCCCAGGACCACATTTATACTGAAAAAAGTATGTACTTTATTGTATTGATCATTATTTTGACTACATTTACCTTTTTGAGTTTCAGCCTAAGTAATACTTCCTAGTTCCCTAAATTGAAGGAAGTAGTGTCCACTTATGCACCTGTCGGTCTCATGGCGTGTCCCGAGACTTCAGGGCCCGTCACAGGTCTGTTTTGTAAGTCGGAAATGGTCTGCGTTGTTGAAAACACATTTTTAGGGAAAGTTCTGTTGCTTCATTTTTGCCTCACTTTTTTGCAGTTTTGTTTTCTTTGTTGTTCGTCTGAATTATTCACTGGTCTTCAAATTTGATATGTCTGTCCAGTAGTCATTGAAACATAGTGTAGTATTTTGAATTCAACTTGAATGCTGTATCCTGTTTGCTTGGACCGTATTTTTATATTCACACATTGAAACAAAAGAGGAAGTGTCAGTGGAGGGAAACAAGCAATAAGCAAAAAAAATCACTGTTTACTATCTCAGTGATGATGGGCACTTTAATACAGAAAAGCAGGATGCTGGGTTAGAGTAATAGGGGCGGGGCAGCTGTATTAAGCAGGACGGCCCACAGGGTTGCTTTTATCAACATAACTAGGGAACAGAGACCTAAATGAGGTGAGGGCCTGAGCCAAAGAGATTCTGGGAAAATGAGATTTTCAAGCAGAGGGAGCAGCAAGTGTTAAAGTCCCACCATAGGAACATTCTTGGCATAGTCAAGAAAATACGAAATCAGCATCCGCAGAGCAGATCAGGCAGAGGAGAGAGGAGATGGTCCAAGAACTGCTGGAGCCACATCGGGTTTGGGAGGACGACTGTGAGCATAGGGGAGGTGATCTGGGTTAAAAGGATCGCTCTGGATGTGTGTAGGCCAGAGAGAAAATGTGGAGACCAGAAACTTCAGAGTTTCTGGGGGTACCCTGGCTGTTGTGGCTCAGTTGTTGAGTGCTGGCCTGAGAACCAAAAGGTCACCGGTTTGATTCCCAGTCAAGGCACATGCCTAGGTTAGCAGGCCAGGTCCCCAGCAGGGGGAGCTTGAGAGGCAACCACACATTAATGTTTCTGTCCCTCTCTTTCTTCCTCCCTTCCCCTCTCTAAAAATAAATAAGAAATAAAATCTTCTTTAAAAATCTACAAAATTTCTGGGTGAAGACCACTCTAACCCTGTGTTGCATCAGTATTCAATTCCACTTTCTTCTTCTTTCACGTACATGTGTGGTAATGTTCCATCTAACGGTGGTGGGCTGAGTAGAGAGGAAGAACCATTGTTCTAACTGGAATGTAGCAAAAGGATTCTCGCCAGGCTGTTGCCCGAGAAATGCTCCCCAGGTGACATGTTATCAATACAGCAAATGGGAGACTGAGATGCCACCCCCATCAGGCTCGGCGCACACTTGAACCCCTTCTCTGAACACCCTCGCCCCAATTTTGGAGGAATTCAAGACCTTCCTGTAGGAACAGGTCAAAACTAGAATAGTCTTGTTCTGGCTGGTGTGGCCCAGTGGATTGAACGTGGGCTGTGAACCAAAGGGTCACCAGTTTGATTCCCAGTCAGGGCACATGCCTGGGTTGTGGGCCAGGTCCCCAGTGGGGGCCACATGGGAGGCAACCACACACTGATGTTTCTGTCTTTTTCTCCCTCCCTTTCCCTGTCTCTAAAAATAAATAAATAAAATATTTTTAAAAAACTAGAATAGTCTTAAAAACCAAAATGGATCCTCCTCGTCAATCCATTGATAACTTGGAGGCTATGAATAAGTAATGCGTATCTCACCATCCTTAATCTTGACAGCCCCCCCAATGGAGAAGTGTAGTCAAGGGTGTGGGGGGCTCCGGATACCCTGAGCAGGCGCACTGCAGCCAGTCCCCAGAGTGGATGCGTGTGAAGTAACAGCATATAGAATGGACTCATTCTTTTTTGTTAAAAGAGACACTGTTAGCGAAATAAACAATTTGACAAGAAGTCCAGCATTCAAAACATGCCATAAGACCTTGCCTGTTCCGACTGCTCTAAGATGCTGGTTGGAAGTATCAGTCTAGTGTAAATTGCAAAGAACAAAAAACGCCAACCTGTACGATATGTTCCCTCCAGACAGACTTGGGATTTGACCTTGTCTCTCCCATTAATGATGGTGTTTGCAGGTGATACAGAAGGATGGGGTTGATGTCCAGAACATAGGAAATGGTCAGCGTGGCAAAACTTTTTAGACACTAAATTTAACTAAGTAAAATTTTGTCCACATAAATATATTTTACCAGCGGTTGTTTTGAAAGAGGATTATTTTGAGCGATAATTACAGTCACATTTAGCAAAAGGATTTTGGCAATATAGCTGTTACATCTGTGCAATCTTAATAACAGATTTTTTTAAATAGCTCTGGAAATTTTATTTTCCTGTGGCTATTAAAATGCACAGAGTAAACATTTGTTAGAACAATTGTTCAATGTTATATTCCATGTTCATGTAAGGGTATCAGTTGTGTGTGCTTATGTGTGCATAGGAACAGATGTAGGTGTGGACACCATGATGCTCAGTACGTAGACCATGGTAATTATTGAAAAGCAAAATAGAAATCATTTTCAGCGCTTTGAATGCTGATCCTTGTGTTCTGTAGTGAGGTAGATAGGAAGCTTCAGCAGGAAAAGCTTTGGGGAACATTTTACTAACCACTAATGGGGGAAGCTTTCTGCATCAGGAGCCTTGGTACCTTTCCCTCCCTCGAACTATAGCAAGAGGACATCACACACTGTGTCCAGCAAATCCCAGCAGGCTGTCCTGAAGTAGTGTCTTCTGAGCGACTACACAGGACGCATTAATCTCCCACAAAAGAGGAAGGAGACAAGTCAGTGGACAAAAGTATTGTTGAATCTGTTACTTAGTAATAAGTAGAAAACAAAAAGCTTAAAAACAAATACTTTTCCAGATACGTGAAATATGTATGAATGTCGTAATGTCTAATAATACCAAAATGGCTTTGTCAGAAGGTCCTCGGGACGCTCACATTTAAACATCTTGCCTTTGTCACTCTCAGCCTCTCCTCCCAGAATTTCAGAAACGTGATCCCTGCCCCAGTGGCTTTTAACTTTTTATCGGTCTCTAGGAAGCATTAGAGGATGGCATTTCTTTTCCATCATCTGTTTTACCTCCCCACCCCATGTTTTAGAAAATAATAACAGAAAAGTTACTGAAGTGTTCTGGTAGTAAGGAAACAAAGATTAAGAACGAAAGGCCAGGCGTGCCTAGACCTGATGCAGTGTTCTCGTCTTCCCGGACGAGGTGACGGGAAGGTGTGTTCAGAACTCTTGGGGAATATATAATCATACCTTATTTAGGCTTCTAATAAGTTTTATTCTTACTTCCCAGGCCCTTGCCCTATGGCCATGATATCATTATGACAAAGCCTAGACCAGGAATTCAAACACTTAATCCAGCCATGAAAATAAATCTAGAAATAAAGATAAATAAGTAAAAATAACCTCTCATAACCTTCGAACATTCTCCCTAAATCCTTTTTTGTACGATGCCAAATAAGCACCAAGTGCTACCGGTAGTCACACCTGTCATTTGGATAAACTGGTAAATGTGCGAAATGTAGGAAGTTTCCTGGATAGCTTTTTTCTGGTGGCAACTTTCTAATTTCATTCTACATTATTGATGTGAACTTAAGCATAACATTTATGTAGCTTTTATATGATTGTTCTGCTAAAAAGTATATTTTACTCATTAATACTATATAAACCATGATTAATACTATATAAACCATGTAAGCCTTTTCATTTTTTCCATTTCTGTTCAAATAGAAATATTTGCGTAGTAGTCAGTGTAGCAAAACTAAGTGTTCATATTTAATTATTTTTGTATTTATTTCTTGTTGCAAAATTTAAGGATGTTTGTTATAATGAAATTGTTTTCCATTGAAGATAATTATTAAGAGGTCTAAGTGGTCTTCCACATCATTTTTCTTTCAGTTGATTTTAAGAATTACTAAAATGCAACATTTTTGAAAAACCTCAATGTAGTAACTATAGATAGACACTTTAAAATACATATGTCAGAGCTTTAACCCTTGAACAGTGTTGCTCTCTACCTCCAGGTGCAGGTCATCTCACTTGTTTGTTTGTTTCTGTTCAAACGTTCATCTCAGGTTCTACATGGTCAGCTACTACGAGCGGAGTCACAGGATCGCAGTGGGGGCACGCAGTGGCTCAGTGGCCCTGTACGACATCCGCACTGGAAAGTGTCAGGTAAATTAATCATTACGCCTTCCTCTCCATAGACTGGGAGCTGGGGAAAGGAGCGTGAGGCCAGCACGTCAGCAGCGGACGTGCCGAGCTGCTGGAACGTTGTGGATAATGCTAAAGGGATCAATAGTTCAATGAAGGACTCCAGGAATATAGAGCCCTGCCGTCTTTATTGAGAGGGAACGAGGGGCTGCCACAGATGGGTCACAGCAGAGCCCAGAGTAAGGTGACTCTTCTCACAAACCACCGCGCAGTAGGTCTTTTCTTCTTTGAAAAACGTTTCTGATTTTATTGCTTATTTTTGCCATGTGTTTCCTGAATAAAAGTTTGGTGGCACATGATGATAGTTAATGGCTAAGTAAAAATTTTCTAAGTAAAATAGCAAAGTTGGGGAAATGACATCACAGTACCATTTACTGTGAGTCTATAAAATGCAAGCCTTTGCTCTGTTTGAAATACGATATTTGCATAACTTTTTTTAAACTCTTTTAATGCCTCTGTGACACTTTGTGAAAAAGTCGTGGTATCGATCTTAATCACTTGATTCTCAAAACAGACCAGCTGGGTAGACAGGGCAAGTCCAGCCCCACCTCAGACGTCAGTGAGTCAGAGGTCTGAGACTTCGAGTGTGTGTCCAGTCACACTCCGAGCAAACGGCAAAGCCAGGGCGAGGCTCCCCTATGGTCCTGGCAAATTCATAATGTTCATCGATAAGTAACTCTGGGTCATAACTTCCTCCGTTTCATTGTAGCATTTATCAGTGCTGATATATTCAACCACAGTAGGAGTTACGTTTAACTGTATTAGACTGATATCGTCAACTGTGTTAGGAATTTCCCAAAGAAATGTGAAGAAATTCATAAGGATGTAGCTAAAATTTTAAACTCTTAAATTAATAAACAGTTAGTTAATTCTTCAGAAGCTTCCCTGGCTGCTTTCCATGGCATGGTTCTCACAGATGGTAACAGGTGTTGGGGGGTAAGAGTTTCAGGGGCCAGACAAGGGCAGAGGCTGCCGTCCGAGTGCTTCTCTTTGTGGGCCTCTCAGAGTCTGTACGGTGTGAACATGCGTGTCCTGGGCCCGCGTGGAGCACGCACCACTCATATGTAGCTGCTACGTTTTGTTTGTGTTTTCCTAAGACATTAGGTCCTCATTGGTGACCAGGTTTAAAATACTTTGAATACTTGCTTAAAAATTATGTCACATGTTGTGTATAATATTCTCTCCTAAGAAAGAGAGATTCTTGAAATAGCATTTTCAGAATTTCTTTTGGTAAGACAGTTTTTTAAAAAATGGAGTATATCATTACTAGCAGACTGGAGAGAAATAAACCGCAAGCATCTACAAGGTACAGAAAAAGTAGAACTAGGGGACCTTTTCGAGCTTCTTTACAACCAAAGTGTGGGAGTCACAGAGGAGTGTGTCAGCGGGCAAGACGCGGGTGCTACCCGTGGAGGAAAGCACGGAGCCCCAGGAGCACAGAGGGTGAGGGGAGCAGCCCAGAACGAACAAGAAAGTTCCAGACTCTGCTACCCATGCGTTTCTTTGCAGTCTCCTTCCTGCTAAGGGGTCTCAGCGAAGATCTTAGTAAAATGCAAAACACACGAGTAATTTGAATGTCTTATTCTTTTTCACTGAGTTACTTGAGATGCCCTTCCCAGACATTCTTTCTTAACGGGGATGTGTAAGGTCATGTATGTTTTGTTTCATTTTCTGTGTATATTCCATGTCATTTTCTGTGCACCATTTTAGTGCATTGGACATTTTTGTGTCCCGTGGTTTTTTTCTACCTCAGCTTCTTGATTTTGATCCGCAAAGTTGTCATCAGTGCTACATGACTGTATCATCTTTGCCTCCCAGTTCTGTTTGAAACTGAAGCTTAGCCTCTTCTCTCATTATTCAGAACCTGGAAACAAGGCCAAATCAGTAAAATCAAGTTGAACTACTTTGGCCAGTTACCGGTGATACCCAGTGCCAATAAGCTCTTAGGGGACAATGATCCTCAATCATTTACAGTATCCGTGTTGTAGTATTTGAAATAAGTGAGACAACAGTTGAATCAAAATACACAGCTGCAGTTGGCATGTTTGGGAATGATGTTGTAGAGGTAAATCAAGAGGCTAGGGGCTTTGACCCAGGACTCAGGAAAGCATTTCTTGAACTAGGTCTTGGACTCAGTTGGCAGAGACAGTGGGACATTTTTCCTAGAATGAACAAACACACAGAGATACGCCATGAAAACTGTAGGAGATAAATTCACTGGGCTTTAGGGGTGGGTTTTCAATTAGGTAGAAAGATCAAGCATAACCACCTAAATGGGAGTCATCGGAGGGGAAAATCGGCTGTGGCCCGTCCAGGGTGCGGGGCTGAGAGAGCAGCCTCGGGCCCAGTGAGCGACTGGAGGGCGGTCATGTGGGGTCCCTGCTGTCCTTAGGTTGTTGGTGAAGGACGGAAGGGAAAACTCAAATCCCTGTCCCTTGCCTTTTGCACTGGCTTCTCCCTTAAAAAAAAATCATTTTGTTTTAACCTCTTCTTCCTGAACAAGAATAGGAGACCACACAAAGCCACAGGACACATGGGCATATCTGTCTGGAACGTGAATTTTACCTCCATCAAGGGTCCGCTCACTGTGCCCAAGTCTGCCTGCCACCTGTCGTAGTAACAAAAATTTTGCTGGAAACTGCCGACTCACTTGGGGACTGTCTGTGGCCCCCCTGTCACTGCAGTGGCAGCACTGAGTTGTGACTAGCAGCGACCAGATGTGGTCCCCAGAGTCTAAACTGTTACTCTACGGCCCTTTACAGAGAAAGTTCGTGGATCCTTGACACAGATGGTTGAGGAAGTAGAATTAACTAATTTAAATGAAAATTAGTTACAACAGTATCGTGTAATATATTGCAGAAGAATAATTAGAAATTCACATGGCTTGAATTCCATCTTCACCACTTACTAATTTTATAACCTTGGGGCAGTTTCGTAACTTCTGAGCTGAAGTTTCCTCACTGTAAAACGGGATAGAAAAGGTGCCTGTTATTGTGAGAAATAAGATGATCTATGTGAAATTGTTAGTACAGGGCCTGCTCTGTAGTTAGTATTCAGTAAATGTTGGTTAATGTCATGTCACAGTGATCTTGGAGGTATATTACATTGCAACGGCATTATATTAATTTTAAAGATACACCATGAGCCCTCGGGATGTTTTAGGCTCACAGTGCTCAGTCGGGCGCAGGAGGGGCGCAGCTCTGCCTGGGGCCATGGGCAGATTGCTCTGTGAAGACAGCTCTGGCCTGTGGTGTTAAGCTGAATCTCTACTGATTATGGAAATGAGAAACTTTGATGCAGTTCAGTAGTTAAAGTCCTGCTGTGCCACTGACTGTGTTTTCGCTTGGCGGCTGCTATTTCAGAATATACATGGCTCAAATTTTGCTTAATTAAAAACAACAACAGCAAAGTAACTCCCTATAAAGTACTGAAATTCTGTTGGTAGGCAGCGTTCTCAATAAGCAGGCTGCTTCAGTTCCAGGAGTCCTTAGAGCTACAGATACGAGTTTGGTGACATCAGCAGCACAAGTCCTCCCTCCGGTAGATTCGCCTCTGGTTGGGCAGACCTGACGGCCGCCTGGCTCATTTCCCACCCGGGCCGAACGCCTTCTGTGTGATAAACAACCGTAGGCTCCAGCAGGGCTCGCCCAGGCCCCCGCTGCTCCTTTTCCTGACGCCCTCTGTCACTGGGAGGCGTCTGATTCACTTCAGTGAATCTGGGCACTTATCTTCTTGCTTTTGACATAGTGCAACACTACAAAAAAGGCAGCGAAGTACAAGAGGAAGGAAGTGTGGCTGATGTCTTACCTAAATGCTAAATTATTAGAAGAACTTTATTATTGAAAATGTAAGTAAGTTCCTTAAAGAAGTCTCTTTTAAAGCCCCACATTTTCCAGTTCCTGGTGCATAGTAAATGGACAGTAAAATACCTGTCGATCAAATAAAACACCTGAGTCTTTATAAACTCAGTGAAACATAAGAAAACAAAGAATGCCCTAATTATATCAAAAATGTATTTGTCGTTGGGTACAGTTATGTTCGGTATGTCAGGAACACCTCATCAAAGAGTCGTTTCTCTGTAGGGGGAGAGAGGCTGTCTTTTCAGGAACGGCACAGACAGGCTGCTTTCTTATGTGCGAAGGGTGCACCTGTATTTCTGTGGCCGACCATGGCCAGGCCTGCCTTTGGCCAGGTAATGAAGGCAAAAGTGGAAGTGAGGCTTGATTGTACAGGTATAGCTGTAGCCTCTAACGTCTTAGCTGTGATCTCTCGAAGAGCAGGGGGTAAATTCTGGAATGCGAACCGTGCCCCATCCCACAGGCTGATTCGAGAAAAAACAACGGGCCTGAAGTCCCAGCTTCCCTGGCCTTACACTCCCTGTGGGTGGACGCGCTGAGTTTCCGACGCACCTTCACAAGGAAAGAAGGCGGCCACAGGGCACGTTGCCCACCTCCTTCTCCTCGTCTCCTGAATGTCCTCTATTCCGCTCCTTGGTGCTTTCAGTGCTGCCGAGGGAGAAGCAGCCCTGAACTCTGTCCAAACCCATTTGCACCTGGCTTCAACCTTGATTTATCCCAACGTTGACCAGCCTGGCTTACCTTCGTTTTTCAGCCAACAAAATTTTTCTGACTGGTCCAGTCAGTCACATTGTTACATTCAGGTATCTGCCAAGCATGTAACTAAACTAATGAGCAAACCAGAAAAACCACAACTGTCTTACAGTAAATATGGAATATGAGGAAGATTGCCTCCTTGTGTTCCAGTCGAACTCCCCTTCCCTCATTCCCGTTTGCCCTCAACAGCCCATGTTGGAATTAGAATCGCCAGCTTGTGGGAAACACTCATTGTCACAGGAGAGAAGAAGGGCAGACAGATAAAGGGGATGTTCTGCAGCAGAGCCCACAGGTCCGGCTCCTGGCTTGAAGGTGGGGTGCAGGGTGTGGGAGGAAGGGGTAGCTGGT